AATCTTCTGGTGAGTTTTTTTTTTTTGTGGAGATGGGAGGGAGGGGGGCAAAGGAATAATCACTGGTTGTTACAGCATCCGAAAATTAAAAAGTTAAGGTCAGCGTTGGAACCAGAAAACAAGAAAGAGGATCCTGAAAGAGAAGAGGCGAGCATAAGTGCCAGCGGTGACGATGACTCTTCAAATGAGGATGATGGGCTAAATGGAAACACGAATACCGCAGAGATCTCATGTGCTGATGCCTCGGAGCAAAAAATCCCAGTGATATTTTCTGCAAATGTGAGTACTTTTGAGGTTTTGTAGTTTTTAACAAAGTCAAAACACCCCCATATTCTTTCTTTGTGACAGAGAGAGCACTCAGGAAGTGGCTCAAATGGTTGCAAAACTCTCAGTTGGCAAGACTTTTGATGGCTCCGTCTTTCGACGATTGCTTACAAGCAAGCTGATGGCGAGATTGACTCCCTAACATGTGTAAATTAGATGACTTAATGGACCGAAACGTCTTAACTCAATTGTTTTTCCCACTATTTTTCCTCTGCTTATATACCTTCTTTACTTTGGCACCCTAAAAATCAACCTGGATGCTACAATAGGCTTAGAAGAATTGATTGTTTTTTCTACGAGCGCAGTGGAATCCTGGACTTACGCTAAAGTAGATCAGCAAGGAGCGCGCCATCAGTTGCTCCTTGCTGATCTACTTTAGCTTTCGTAATACCCAGTTCCGAGTGCCAATATTGCCACATTCAGGTATGGCAAAACGCTCTGTTCCTGGAGTCTGGCAACATTTGATTTTCTTTACGGGCCCTGTTTTTTCCTCATCCTTTTATTCTGATTTGTCTTGGCATTTTGGGCATGTGTTTTTCTAATTCTACTTTTTATGCGTTTTTGCATATATACAAAAACACATTTTGTGACGACCCTGGTGTGTGTGTGTATGTTTGCGCCTGTTCGGGTATTTCAACTCAGTACCCAAGCAAACTCTGGCGCCAAAATTTTGCGAGTGGGTTCCCCGGCCAAGTGTCACCCCGGGACCGCGGTACCAGTCCTCAAGCACGTCTAGGCCCGCGCAGGAGTACCTCAAAGTTTTGGCGGGAAAATCACTAACTTGGGAACCAGAAAAGCTAGAAAGCTGAAATTTTGGGATTATGTTCCCCATCTGCATAGAACTCAAAGATTTTAAATTCAGCCCCCAGGTGTGCGCATTTCCCGCATGCGGCCCCGTGAGGGTTCCTGGCGCGAAAATCGCTAGCTCGGAAACCAAGAAAGCTGGGGAGTTGAAACTTTCAGGAAATGTTTCCAACTCTTCTTTAACTTGAATTTATCAAATTCAGCCCCTCCGTTATGCGTGGTTGCCACGTACGTCCCCGTGAAATTTTCTGGCTGGAATTTGGGTAACTCGGGAACTGAGAAAGCTGGGAGTCTGGGATTTCAAGGGAATGTTCCGTGTCTAGGTATAGCGTGGATGATTAACTTCCGAAATTCGAGGACCAATATGTACAAGAAGTTTCTAGCTAGCGGAATTTCGACTGATCTTATTACAACACGAAACACTCCAAAAATGCATGATCGCACGAGCCCGCTCAGTGCGTGTCGCCAATGATTTTGAGGAATTTAATTCGCTTAAAAATGGTAACAGGCACTTGAGTTTTTTTCTTTTTTTGGCACATGCTACATTTCTTTCATAGTGGTTTGTACCAGTGCATTTTGAACATATCGAAAGAAGAGGATTTCTTAAGGTTATATGTCCACCCTAAAAGATATGAAATTTTTTGAGATTTGCATTTTTTTCGAAATATTTTCTTTTTCAAGGACCTTATCGCGCTGTTTAAATCGCGAGGGCATGTGCAATGTACTGGTGATGATGGTGGTGCAGCGGGGCAGCAGCGTCCCGTTGTTGTCGGGATGGTTGGTTATCCAAATGTTGGCAAAAGCTCAACTATCAACAG